ATTACTATTACTATTATTATTACTATTACTATTACTATTACTATTACTATTACTATTACTATTACTATTACTATTACTATTACTATTACTATTACTATTACTATTACTATTACTATTACTATTACTATTACTATTACTATTACTATTACTATTACTATTACTATTACTATTACTATTACTATTACTATTACTATTACTACTACTATTACTATTACGATTACGATTACGATTACGATTACGATTACGATTACGATTACGATTACGATTACTATTACTATTACTATTACTATTACTATTACTATTACTATTACTATTACTATTACTATTACTATTGCTATTACTAATACTATTACTACTACCATTACTATGACTATTACTACTACTATTATTACTCTTACTTTTACTATTAGTATTACTACCAATATGACTATGACTACTAATCCCACTATTTCTATGACTAATGATATTACTAATACTATTACTGTTACTGTTACTAGTATTATTACTATTACTATTACTAGTCATATACTATCACTAATACTATTACTAATACTATTACTATTACTATTACTATTACTATTACTATTACTATTACTATTACTATTACTATTACTATTACTATTACTATTACTATTACTATTACTATTACTATTACTATTACTACTACTATTACTACTACTAATACCATTACTATTTTTCTTTCTATGACTATGACTAGGACTATGACTATGACTATGAGTATGACTATGACTATGACGATGACTACGCCTATGGCTATGACTATGACTATGACTATGATTATGGCTGTGACTATGATTAGGACTATGACTATGACTATGACTATGACAATGACGATGACTATGACTATTACAATTACTATTACTAGTATGATTACTATTACTATTACTATTACTATTACTATTACGATTATTACTATTACTATTACTATTACTATTACTATTACTATTACTATTACTATTACTATTACTATTACTATTACTATTACTATTACTATTACTATTACTATTACTATTACTATTACTATTACTATTACTATTACTATTACTATTGCTATTACTATTACTATTACTATTACTATTACTATTACTATTACTATTACTATTACTATTACTATTACTATTACTATTACTATGACTATGACTATTACTATTACTATTACTATTACTATTACCACTACTACTACTACTACTACTACTACTACTACTACTGCTACGACTACTACTACTACTATTACTACTACTACTACTACTACTACTACTACTACCACTACTACTATTACTATTACTGTTACTACCCCTACTACTATGACTATTACTATTACTACTACAATCACTTCTACCTTTACGAATACTACTACTATTACTAGTACTATTATTGTAAATTTTACTATTACTATTACTATTACTAGTACTAGTACTAGTACTAGTACTAGTACTAGTACTATTGCTATTACTATTACTATTACTATTACTAGTACTAGTACTAGTACTAGTACTAGTACTAGTACTAGTACAATTACTATCACTATTACTATGAATATTTCTAGTACTATGACTATTACTAGTACTACTACTATTACTAATACGATTCCTATTGCTAGTACTATTAGTAATACTATTAGTAGTACTATTACTAGTACTAGTACTAGTACCCTTATTACTACTATTACTATTACTATTACTATTACTAGTACTATTACTATTACTATTACTATTACTATTACTATTACTATTACTATTACTGTTACTGCTACTATTACTATTACTATTACGAGTACTATAACTATTACTATTACCATGACTATTACTATTACTATTACCATTACTACTACTATTATTACTACTATTACTATTACTATTACTATTACTATCACTATTACTATTACTATTACTATTACTATTACTATTACTATTACTATTCCTCTTCCTCTTCCTATTGCTATTACTATTACTATTACTATTACTATTACTATTACTATTACTATTACTATTACTATTACTATTACTATTACTATTACTATTACTATTACTATTACGATTACTATTACTATTACTATTACTGCTACTAATAATGATATCATTGCTAGTAGTATTGCTATCACTACTACTATTACTAGTACTACTACGATTACTATTACTAGTACTATTACTATCACTATTACCATTACTATTACTATTACTATTACTATTACTATGACTACTACGATTACTATTACTGTTACTACTACTAGACGACTAGTAATATTACTGCTAGTTTTACTGTTACCATTACTATTACTATTACCATCAATTTTACTATTACTATTAATAGTACTAGTACTAGTACTAGCAATACTACTATTACTATTACTATTACTAATACTATTACTATTATTATGACATTTACTTTTACTTTTACTATTACTATTATTATCACTATTTCTATTACTGTTACTAATACTAAAACTACCACCATTACAATTACTATTACTATTACTACGACTATGAGTCCTACTATTACCGATACTACTGGCAATATATTTAATGATATTGGTAGTACTGTTACTATTTCAAAATAATAGTATAATCAATATTATTACCGATAGTATTTATCGTACTACGATTACTGTTATAATCATTATTGTTGACATTAGTTGTGTTCATGAAATTACCAGCATTCGCATGATGATGCGTAGTATTAGCAATATCGTTGTTATTATTATACTTGTTAGTATTCGTAGTACTCTTACCAGTAGAACTATTAGTACGACTAGTGGCGTGAGTATTAGTAGTATGAGTATTAGTATTATGAGTATTAGTATTACTAGTAATGGTGTTGCTGATATTACCATTGTTCGTGGTATGATTATTAGTAGCTGTCTTCTTTACATTTTTCATGACTATGACGATTAAAACTATTATTCGTGGTACGAGTATCAGTTTCGGCGGTGTTATTATTCGTATTCAGTTTCTTGCTACTATTATTGTGAGTCGTCCTACTATTAGCAGTATTGGTTCCTCATTCGTGTTATTAGTAGTCGGTAGCATTGCAAATACTATTACTAATAGTAGTATGTATAATGATATTATTTTATTGTTTGTCATTATGATTACTATTAGTATTACTCAAATGATAAGACGTTCGATCTTCTTATTTGTATCATTCATAAAATTATGTTCCTCCTCCTCCTGCTCCTACTCCTCCGCCTCCTCCTCATATTGTTCCTCCTCCTCCGCCTCGTCCTCCTCCTCATCATCCTCCTCCTTTTCCTCCTCCTCCTCCTCCTCCTCTTGGTTCTCTTTTTTTTTGTTCGTCGTCCTCCTCCTCCTCCTCCTCGTCCTCCTCCTCCTCATCCTCCGCCTCCTCCTCCTCCTCCTCCGCCTCCTCCTCCTCCTCCTCCCCCTCCGCCTCCTCCTCCTCCTCCCCCTCCCCCTCCGCCTCCTCCTCCCCCCCCTCTCCTGTCATCGCCCTGGGTTGACACGATGAGCGGTGGGACTTGGAGTGAGGAGGGATGGTTGACATATCAGCGCGAAGAGAGTGCGATCTCGGGCACTAAGCCGAAAAAGCTAAGCACAGCGAAAGCACGAAGCGGAGGGGAGGGGACCGACCCGAGAGTCACGCGGGGGACCAAACTTAGATTGGGGGGGACAGCGGGCCAAATTCTCGCGGGCTCGAAGCTATCCGCATCCCCCGAGCCGTAAGCTCGTCCCAGGTCTTCTCCTCCTTCCTCCGCTCGTCCGTACCCGGCCTTGCCCCTCGCCAGGCCCACAACCTTGGGGTCCTCCAAAGTCTGGGGCGGGCGCGTCTGCGGGTCAGCCAGCGTCGTCGTCGTCGTCGCCGCTGCCACCGCTACCGCCGCTCCCCGGGGCCTCGAGACACCTTCCCAAAACTCAGAGCAGTACGAGAGAGCGGCCCCACCGCCCTCGTGAGACAAGGAAACCGAGACGCCACCGTCTCCCCCAAGAGAGATCCACACTGGGCCCTCGAGCCCCGGAGCTCCCGACCCCGCAGCGTCCAGCATCTTCCGGCTGGCGCCTCTGGACCTCGATTTCAGACTCGCGTTAAGCGAGCGCTCGCCCAGGCGCCCGTGCTCGTCCACGAGCACCAAGGTGCCCTTCGAGAGGAGGTCCCTTAGAGCGTGGTTACCCGACGAGGGGTCCACCTTGGCGAGAGGATCCGAAGGCATCCTCGCGCGCGGAACCCAGCGCATGCGAGAACCAACCGAGGCGAGCGAATCTCGAATGACCGCGAGCTCCACAGCGTTTCTCCTGTCCGCACGTGAGCCCGCTGAGTTTCGACTCAGCACGTCGAACACCGACTTGGCGTCCACCACTGACAGCCCTGAGGCCGCTTCTCCCAACTGGCAGTCACTAGCCAACATCACGGCGAAAGGCCGCTGGTTATCGAACCATGCCGGCCTGGGAACATCACCAAACACCGCGTCGCGCCAAAGCACCTGAATCCACTGAGCTTCCCCCGTGGCCCCCGACAAAGCAAGAGTTTCAGCGGCAACGGTGCTGGACACCGCCCTCTTGATGCGCAGCGATCTCCACGCTAAAACACCCACGCGCGCGCGACGGTTATCACGCATGACCGAATCCGCAGCCATGAGGATCCAGGCCCCTTGGGCCCCACCACGGCGAGCACTTCCGGGCCCTCCGGCGTCACTCGCAGTGACAAGCGTGACCGAGGCAGGATCCAAGTTCCAGATCGTGAGTCTCTGCTCGGGCGACGCTTTCAAGAACTTGCAAACCTTGATCAGCGCAAGCGCGTCAGCCACAAGGCGCGGGCAGCGCAGCCGCCAGCAAGAAGGCTGACCCAGCAACGTCAGGGCGAGATCCACGTGCAAGCCATTGAACTTGCGCTGCCACGGTGCGACAAGAACGGATCTCTTCCCGCGCGAGCGGGGACTCGACCTGAGACCGACGACCCCCCCCCCCCCCCGAACATGGTCGAAAGCTGCTCCCGAATATATTTCTCCTGATCCACAACAACTCGATCCGGCAGCTGGCAGAGACGCCTTCCAGCGAAATCTGCCTCACGCTCTTTCCATTTCCCGAACCTGAATCGATCCGCGGGGGCCTGCTTCAGAGACTTCATGGCGGTCTCTTCGCCGGACAAGAGGAGATCGTCGACCTCGATCAGCACTGGGGCCTCCAGCCCCCCCAACTTGCCCCTCTTCAGCCATAGGCATGGCTCTAAAAGAGACTTGACAAAACCGAGGGGGGACAAGAAATCCGCGAGCGTTCGGCGCCACAGCAACGGAGCGCCATTGAGGCCGCACACCGGCGCGACCAGCTCAATAAGGGAGCCCACGGGCAGGCTGAGCCCGGAGCAAGTCTCCACATATATTGCACCATTCGGACGCTCCAAAAGATTCGACTGGCAAAACGCGTTCTCCGCATCGGCAATATTCAGAACCCAGCTCATCGAGGCGATAACCTGCAAGGCGACGAGGATGCTCTCAGTCTGTGGCGTCGGCGCGTACACGGACAGATGTTCGCCGTCGGGGTCTTGGTGCCCATGAACGCACCACCGCGACTTCGCCTTCGCCTTAGCTCCAAACCCCTTCCATCGGCTTAAATCTGCGCACCATGCGAGACGATAACACGCGATCGGGATGGCGCCTGCGAGCGAGGCGCGCCTCGTCTGGCGAGAGCACTCGCACCGCGCCAGAAGACAAAATCGCCTCCCACTCGCCGAGGTCAGACTCTGCAAACTGAGCGCGTTCCTCTGGAGTCAGATTCTTCATGACCACCTCAGCTCCCCAGGGGGCAGTTGGCTTTCCCGAGCCCGAAACCGTGGCCGGACCAGAAAACTCGGCCGACTCCGAAAAGTCCTGGAACAGGGCCGGATAGTTGGGGGCCCCCCTCATGGCAGACCACTGCTTCAGCTCATCCAGGAGCCGAGCATCCTGGAAGTCGTCCACCTCACCCGAGAAGCCGTCAAAATCTTCAGGAGGGGCCTCCGTCGGGACCCCGTCTCCCCTCGGCACCGTCGGAACCACGTGCCTTCCCAGGTCCAGAGGTCACGGAGGAGGGGCAGGAGCGCCCAGCGCACGGCGCAGGCGCTCCGGAAGCTCCGTAGAGGGGGGAGGGGGAGGAGCGGGAGCGGAGGAGGACGAGACAGCAGGAGAGGACTCGGAGGAGGGAAAAGGAGCGGACCGTCTCGCAGACGGCCTCGGAAGCGACACCGACCTCAAGCGAGGGACTCGCCCATACACATGACAGGGATGGTGATCCGGAGAGGGTCCCGGGGGCGCTCCGTTCGCTGCGCGAACGTTCTCGATTTCCCGAACCATGGTGGCCACCCTGGCGGCCTGACCCACCACGCCCTCGATCGGGGTCAGGCAATCTGGGCCGCACGGCCCCGTCGTCTTCCGAACCCATGGCTCTGGCGACCCCTCGAGAGGCGGAAGAATCCAGCTCGGAGTGAGCTGGCTCAGAACCGCTCGTGGCCATTGCCATCGAGGGCTCAGACGCATCAGGAACTTGCGTCTCATCTCGGCTCGGCGGCTCGGCGCGCACCTCAGTCGTCCGAGGAGCCGAGGCGGGGGCAATAGCTGGGGTCGACGCAGGGGCCGCAGCTGGATTCAAGACCCGCGTCTCCGAGCTGGGCGCCGCCTGGCCACCGGCGTCGGGCCCGTCCCAGGCCTCAGGGGGAGGGGGCCCTCGGCAGCAACATCTACTGCTCCTGTCTTACGCCCCGGGCCCTGACCTGCTCGCGCAAAGCCTCAAAACGAGCCGAATCCAGCAACTCAGCGCCGAGAGATTCTTGACAAGTGGCAAGCCTAACTTGCTCCTCTGAGCACTTGAGCAAACGGGTTCTCATAGCCACCCACACCGCCCCCTTACTTTGATAGACGACGGCCCCAGGACCGGTCCACCTGTCGCGTTGCAACGAGTGAGATCTGTTAGATCCCGTCACCCTCCTCCACACGTACACCCACTCCCCTGGCTTGAAAAACCTCTCGGCGTGGAGCCGAGCGCGGCTGGCCTCGGACAGCCGAGAACGTGCGTCCATCGCAGCCATGGCCTTGCGAGCCCCCTGGCGCAAGACGTGACGTCGAGCAAACTCCGCGGCGGCAGAGCCCTGCTGAGAGGTCCCGCCGAGCACGTCTTCACAGCCAACTAGGTCCAGCTCGTGGTCAGACAGCAACGACCGGGGCACTCTCGGGGCCCTTCCCAGAACCATCTGAAACGGACTGAAACCCCCGCGATGGTACGTGCTGTTCTTGGCCTCTACGGCCTCGCACAGGAGAACTTCCTCTTCGCCCCGGCTAGTGGGGCTCGTGGCCAATGAGGCCTTCGACACGCCGTCTTTTAATATGCCCCCGTGACGCTCACAGCGCCCGTTATAGTGCGGAGAGCTGGCCGGCACGACTTGGTGAAATATACCAAGGCGTTCGCACCCCCTCGCGAATTCACGATCGAACTCGCCGCCTCCATCGGAGATCAGCACCTCGGGCAAGCCGAATGGCCTCACCCAGAGCTGGAGGAAGCCCTTCCACGTAGTCTTGGCGGTATCGTTAGGGAGAAGGCAGGCTTGTTGATAGTTAATTCCATGACATATGACATTCAACAACGGTGTGCTAAGCCCCTCCACATCAAGGTAGAACGGGTCTAGAGCAACTAGCTTATTAAATTCATACGTGCGCGGGAGGTGCGCGTGGCGACGCCAATGGGCTCGCGAGCGCGAGTCGCAGGCCCCGCACTTGAAACGATGCTTAGTCCATTCGAGCACGTCCGCCCTGGCCCTGGCAACCCGAAGAGCCCGGAGAAAGTCAGCCAAAGCTGGGTGCCCCAGGTTGACGTGAAGCTTGTAGATTTCACGCTGCAGTTCCGGGCCCAGGGAGACCGTGGTAGAAGCGGCGGCGGGAGCCTGTGCCGCTGGCCCCCGGGGCAGGGTCTCCGGGACGTCTTCGTCGGACTCGTCGTCCGGAGGGTCGGCCTCTGGAAAGGACCGCTCGGGGAGCCCGGTAAGAGGGACCTCCGGCGCCTCCGGAGACTCGGGCTCACTGCTCCAGCAAGCCCATCCGCTCAGGTGATGATGGCACCATGCCACCTCCTCGGCGGCCGAGGCCATCGTGGAGATGAGCTCGTCAAGGTACTGCTGCGATCGTCTGGTCCTGTGGCTCCCCTCCAAATGCACGTGTGAATGGGTCCCTGAACACCTGCGCACACACCTGCGCAGAAACAAACTTGCGTTGCTCATAAGTCGGGTCCGCTTACGAGAGAGCCAGCCGTCTTTGACGACTGAAAGTCCGAACTCACATTGGTCAGTGACCTCAGCGCGCACGTCATCGCAAGCCAACAGCGCCTGAAAATTCTCCAAGTCCCACGAACTGGCCCCCTCAGGATGTTCGAACGATAAATAACGCCCCTTCCGCCTCTGGTATCGAGCGACACGACTGCAGAGGTCCACGTACTCGAGGCCTCGCTGATCGACCTCTTCCCTGGCCTGGGGGTCCATAGTGCCCCAAGTCGAGGCCCGGGCCTGACTGAACGCTTTACACTCATGGCTCATGAGGACAAGCAGGGGCTCATCCTTCTCGAGAGCGCTCCAGAGCAAAGATTGACCCGCTTTAGTGCTAAGATCCACACCCGTCAGCAGGTCGAAGGCGCGCGATACCTTCCAGCCTCGGCGCCCCAGCTCCCTAGAGACCCGGGGGGGCGAGAACAGTTCTAGAACTAAGGTCCCGGCCCGCTTCGCCTCGGCCACTTGGGCCTGGCGCCGTCTAAGCTTCAGCCTCTTGCTAGATCTGAGTCACTGGCCCTCTAAGAGCCGCGCCGTCGCCTCCCTCACCTTCCTCGGGATAGGTACCCCGACGCGACCCCCTGGCCCCGAGGCATCTAAGGCGGCAGCCGCGAAGCGGTCGGAGATCACGCAATTGAAGCGAGAGTCGAGCTCAGAGGACGGGACCCCGTGAGAGTCGGAGCGAGGGAGAAGAGAGGAGGTCGAGGACAAGATTTCTCCCGCCAAACACTCACGCTGGGCTCCGGCTCGGGCCCTCGGCACACTCCGAGAGTCCTAGCAAAGTAGTCCGGGCCCCTTCTCGCAGACGCTATCGCACCCCTGGTCTCAGACGCGGTCGCACCCAGCCATGGAGAGCTCATCTTCAAATCCCCTGAGGCCGACCTGATTTCGACCCATCGAGCCCCTCGAGGAAACAAACTGGCCAGCGGTCCTCCCCCACACGCCTCCATGGCAAGAGCGACGAAAAAGGACTTACGTTCGTTGGGAGACAACTCGTGCCTTTCCCATCTTAGAAGCTCCTCCAGATCCCGAGACTCCAGAAATCTACGATCGGCGCTGTCCCAAACCCCCAACACGGGATCGAAATCGGATAGGCTGGTGCTGGACCAGATACGGGTGCACCAAACCCCCATATCTCTCAGAAAGACTTCCGTCGAGGCTATCGGCCTCAACTGCTCGCGCGACCTGGCCTCTAGAGCTCCCGGAAGGCCTGGAGCCTCAGACGCTCTCAAGCTCGAGGCGGCGCCGCGCCGCCGCCGCTCTGGATCGAGACCATCATCTGCGCCAGCTGCGCGAGGTCCTCCGGGTTCATCCTGGGCGCCGTGCTGCCGCTGCTGCCGCTGGCGGCCCTCTCGGCCATGGCGCGGTTCTCCCGGATCAGATTGCTCACGCCCTGCCAGGTCAGCTCGTTGGACCGCTGCTGCGTCTCCAGGCACACCTTCATGTCGGACAGCGCGCGCATCATCTCGCTCTGCGTCATAGGGCGGACGTCCGCCCCTCTCACCTGCAGCGAGTACTTCTTGCTGACCGGCGCGTCCGGAGGCGGCGCCTTGTAGAGAATGTACCCTGCGTCCGTGGGAACGTAGAGGTTGCCCGGGACCTCGTCGAGGTTCTCCGTCGCCGCACTCCTCGCCTTGGGCGTCTTCTTCGGCGGAGGCTTCGGCGGGGGCGTCGGAGTCCGCGGGTCGCCGTCTGCGCTGGTCAGCTCCATCAGGTCCCGCTCGTGCTGGGCCATCACCGCCGCCGTCACTGCCTTGGTCTGGTCGCGCAGCTCCTTTGCTTTGGCCTTCACCTGCTTCTTCACCTGGGCCGCAGCTTTCTCCTCGACGGTCTTGGGGCGCAGGCAGAGACGTAGGCCACAGCGCCGGCAGAACGTGCACCAGCTCGTCGGGTTGCCGCTGGACCACTGAGCCCACGGAGGGCGCGGGCAGGTGGCCCGGTCGATCGTCTCCGGGCCCGCCCCCTGGAGCATGCGGGGGGGCATCCCGCACAGGAGGCGCATGTCCTCGCACGTCCGCACGCAGCCGAAGAGCTTGAGTCCCATCGACCTCCAGCGCGCTGATGCCGGATCGAACTTGAACTGGCCCTCGTTCAGCTGCTGGATCTCCTGCTCCGTGAGAGCCTCGGCCTCCAGCACCTCGTTCAGCGTCACGTCCGAGAGCCTCTCCCAGCTGTCCTCGGCGACCATGGGAGTGGCCTCGTGGAGCGTCAGGAGACTCGATGAGCGTCGTGCCGGACTCGCTGACTGGGATCGAGACTTCTGCACGGTCTTCTTCGGCCTCAGCGCCATGCTGAGAGCTCGCTTCAGGGTCTCGGAAGAAGGTGTCGGGAGGGTCTTGAGCCGGGGGAGCTACGGACCCGGGGAGTTTGGACCCGCTGTCACCCCCCCAACCTACTCTCGGAAAGCCCCCTGAGACTCCAACGTCGGACCCCCTGGACCTGAGGAAAAGGAGGAGGACAGAGAACACTCCGGCCCTCCAAAGCCCAAACGTTCGCAACCTACCCGCGACCCCTCACTGCCCGATCCCGCGCGGTCCTGGATGCGGAAATTCCGGCACTCCGCGGGCAGCCGTGCCAAGACGTTCGGGTCCACGGAGAACTCGTCGGGCTCGCACCAGATCAAGCTGACCGACCTGTGGCCCGAAGGGTGACGATACAGGTGCCTCGAGACCTGACCCTTGGGCGCGTTCACCATTATCACGTTGAGGCGCATGTCCACAACTCCTCCGATCGCCTCCAGCATGCGCGCCGGAAGCAAAGGCGGGCACCGGTTCGCGATGATGAGGAACTCGACGAATCCGCAGCCAGCCAGCGAGACTGGCACCCAAGCTCGGCCAACTGGCTTCGCCTGCCCTCCGATCCCGGACGCTGTCATGCCCGGAACCTCGCCGAAAGCCACGTGGATGTTGAATCCCTTCTCGGCGAACGAGTGCACCATGATGTGTAGATCTTCGCGTCCTACAAGAGCTTGTCCAGCTGCTGTGTCCCCACCAAGGCGCTGTCGAGCATGTTCTTGAGAGTTGGAAGGACCTGGGCGCTCTTGATAGTCTCGATCAGCCCCGTCCAATCTTCCACGGACCATGTCACAGTCTGCGTCTCGTCGCCCTCGAAGCTTCAAGTAGTCCACGTGCCCCTCGTCGGTGCCGTTCTCGAAGTAGAACGAGGTCTTAGCTCCACCATCGTCTTTCGACCGTTTCTCTTCAGCGAGCCTCTGCTCCTTCGTGCGGCGCGGCTTCCTACACGTCTCAGCCCAATGACCTTTGCCCCCGCAGATGGCGCATCTCGATCTCTTTCTCAAGTCCGAGCCCGCGATGCGCATGTAGCCTGGCCTGTTCGCTCTACGTCGGTCGAAGAAGTCCCGGTCGATCTTCTTGTTGGCCTTCATACGGCGCGCCTCCTGCCAAGTACGCTTTCGACCCTTGCCCAGCTTGTCCTCAATAACCGCGGCCAGCACCATCATCAGCTCGGACTCTTCGAGCTTCTGGCTCTCGAGGGCCGCGAGGAACGTCTCAGCTTCTTCCTCAGGCAGTTCGAATGAATCATCTGGCCCTTCAAAGTACGTATCAACGTCAACGCACGGCTGAGGAGGAGGCGGCGGATGTTCCATGTCCTGCTGAATCTCGGCCTGGCACGTCTTAGTCACATTTGAGCTCGCCGAGGTCGGAAATACAGACTTGCCCCTGACATCGCGAAGCAACAACGCCTGCCTGATCGAAGTCGAGTCGCTCTTGCCGGCTGCCAAGGTCTTCAAGTTGATGCGGTTCTGGGGTGCGAGCTGCGCGCCCCCCTCCAAGAAGCGCACTCTAACTTGGTCCGGAAGTACCAGTCCGAATCGTTCAGCCTCCGCGGTCTCCAGATCTCTGCGAAGCACAAAGTCAGTCAAAGTTTCTCCTCGCCGAATGCCGCGGTTGAACAGGGCGGCACAATGTCCCCCCCTCTCCTTGTCTCCCGGCCTCTCGCCGTTCAGTACCGAGAGGTGCTCCATCAGGTTGTCCAGTCCCTTCCCGTCGTCGAGTCAGCCTGATACTCACGAAGCGCTGCTGAACCTCGATGAGCAGGCTCTCTAACACCTTCCCGGCTCTCTGCTGCTCCAGGTATCCAGTACGTGCTGCCCACGATTGGAGATTCATCTTGTACCGCCTCAAGTTTTCGAATCCCAACCAAACCGGCGGCGCTCCATAGTCACGAGATTGCGATCCCCACGACCGAGAGCTGGGCCTCCAGTCGCCTTCCCACGCGTTCCACGAGTCTCTGTCGCGCCACTTGTCGTCGCCGTGGTCCTGGTCGTTCCTCCACCACTGCCCCGACCAGTCCCAGCTCGTCCAGCGCCCTCCCGAACGCTGGTTCGGGTCGCGGTCGCCGTCGGTATGTGCGCCGGTGGCACGCATGCCCCCCTCGTCTTCTCCTCCAATCACCGAGTACGTTTCCCCGTCACCGCCCGGCCCCGAAGCCACGCTCCGCTTACCATTGTCATCGCCCTGGGTTGACATGATGAGCGGTGGGACTTGGAGCGAGGAGGGATGGTTTACAGATCAGCGCGAAGAGAGTGCGATCTCGGGCACTAAGCCTAAAAGGCTAGGCACAGCGAAAGCACGAAGCGGAGGGGAGGGGACCGACCCGAGAGTCACGTGGGGGACCAAACTTAGATTGGGGGGGGCACCTCCTCCTCCTCCTCCTCCTCCCCCCCCCCTCCTCCTCCTCCTCCTCCTCCTCCCCCCCCCTCCTCCCCCTCCTCCTCCTCATCCTCCTAATCCTCCTCCTCGTCCTCTTTCCTCCTCCTCCTCCTCCTCCTTTTACTTTTCCTCCTCCTCCTTTTCCTCCTCCTCCTCCCCCCCCTCATTCTCTTTCTCCCCACCCCCTCATCCATCGAGCCTTCTCCTCCTCACCCTTTTTGCACGGTTCGGCCGCCCCCTCCTTGCTTCCGCACTTCCCCGATCACCGCAGCTCGCCTGGAGATGGTTTCTGGATGAACTGACGGGGATATTTGTTTGGTTCGCGGCTCCAAGGCGAGGGACATGGAGCGGGCACAACGTCCGGGACGCGGCACGTAGATAATTGGCGCGAGATTGTCGCAGACTCCAGCGGACAACACACGCAGTGGCGCATGCACATGCCAAGGACAATATGCCCCTGATTGAGACGCATTTCAGCGCATGCTGGTGACCGGCCCAGACAGCCCGGCTGGTGGGGAAGCAACAGGCGCGGCAACCGGCAACGGAACGGGGGGGAGAAGTCGCCCTTGCGGCGCCAAGCTCCAGCCGAACCGCAATCGGAAGCGAGGCCAAGACGGACAGTCAGGCACTGTAAAGGCCACGAGCACAGCGCGAGTCCGAGTGGCCAAAGACCAGGCGGAACCCACGTGTGTGCACACAGAGCCAGGCCGTCCAAGACCTCGGAAAAAGGGGGGTGAGCGCGAGCGAGCGCAACTAACTCAGACTCACTGCAGCTCCACGAGCACACGATGATGCGGCGAGGGAGACCCGACTCACCAAGGATCACTGAAACTGAGGTGTGCCTGATCCGCGTCAGAGCGCCATCCAGTAGAGGCAGACCACTGGTGTGCGTTCACGAGGCTGATCAACCAATTGGCGGGGATACTTTCTTGATTGACGGCTCCAAGGACAGATCCAAGAAGCGGGGCGGGCTCGGCTGGGGCACAGGGCGAGATAATTGGCTACGACGGCGCATAGGCCGACGCAACAAGTGCACTTGCACGAGGCAAAATGCCCCCCATTAAGATGCGGGCGACCCTGGAGCGGGGACGCAGGCATCAGACTGAAACAGACGGAGGAGAAGTCGCACTGCGGCGCCAGCTCGAGCCGTACTGACCAGCGCGCACTGGCGTGAGCCACGCTGCGCTGCGGCAGCACGGGGGGCCCGTGAGGCCGCACGGTCAAACACGACGAAGAGGCGAGAGAGCAAGGAAAGGCGGCGGGTGCGAGAGCACGCGCGGGCAGAAGAGAGGGAGCCGAGGAACCCCTCACTCACTTGGACTCCTGGGCGCGGTCGGGCGTAAGCGACCGACCTATGCACGGAGACGTCGGCCCAGTCGCGGAGCCCGAAACCTGCGACTGCCTGGCCCAGATTGTCGGGGGGGTGCAGCAGCAGGCAAGGCCGAGCACCACGGACCACCCTGCGGGAGGGCTGGAACACTGCCAAAGGATGAACCACTTGCGCAGTACCAGGAGCACGAAGGTGGCTCCCGCCGAGAGAGGTGGACCAAGTCATCGGCGAACAACGCGGGCAGCATATCCATCACGATGGACGGGGGAACAAAGCGGCGAGCGTCAACTGGGGAAGCAGGGGCGGACCAGATGGGATATCATCGGCAGTCGAGCAAAAGGCGCACCACTCGTCGGGTCCGCACTCTCCCCAGGTCCGGCCCCAGGTGGTGCCGGGGCGGAGTGGCGCGCCAGGCTGCGCCCGGCCGTAGCCCAGGACCAGGCACCGGGAACCACACCCAGACCACGTGGGCGAACCGCGCCCGCGCCAGGGGCCGGAGTCGCACCGGCGGGGGCGGACTGCAGAAGGCCCGAGTTGTCCGAAACAACACCTGGCAGCATCGCGGCCCGACCGCACCTCGGAGCTCTGCCAGTGAGCCTCCAGGTGGCAAGTAAGCCCGAGTGCTCCAGAGGAGCCACGGTAGGGGGGAAATCGCGCGGCGCCGCATCAGCAGGAGGAGGACGGGGAGAGGGGGAGACGCAGTCGATAGCCGCACAATCAAATGAATAAATGGAGGAGGGGGAGGGCGACGCCAATGCTGATACTGCGAGAACTTTGGCCTCTGTGATCCCTCCACCGTGCGTTGTGGCGGGTCCTCGACCGCGGGGGGAACAGAGCGCCTGACCACTGCGGGGGACCGCGCTGTCACTGCTCCAGGGCAGCATCGTCGGGGGGAAGCACGCGAGGTGCAGAGCGTTAGATTCAGGTGGAGCGCGTGGGGTGGGCCTATGGCTACAGTCCCCAATCATCCAAAGTAGGTGTCCCAGAGGGGGAACATGAACGGATCCTGGTCCTGTGGGATCCAGGCCAAGGAGGGACACGGGGGGTGGGATATTTCAGCCACCATCCACCGTTCAGAAGGGTCCCGCGAGACCAGCGCGGGCTGTCTAGTGCGCAGCGCATGGGTATTGGTGCACCTCTGCCCCACAAGAGGTGGCACGGGGGTATTATGGCCGAGGCCCGGCACTGCGGTGAAACCAGCCCCCGTCCAGGTCGGGAGCAACCACGAGGGATGCTGGACCGTGGGGGACTGACACATCACGTTCCTCAGTCCCTCTCCCCTGCATCGCTGTGCGCAGCAAAGGGCCGGTTGAGGACCACGGGGCTGCCGACCCAGCGGGCTCCGCCCGGAACGGTGGGGTCCCAGATCGCCCACAGGGCCAGCGCAATGGAGACCACCTTGTAGAGTGAGGGGGAGGCTGTTCCCAGTTGCCCAAGGTCGTCATTGTCCAGAAAGCAAGCGTTGCGCTCCATGACGGGCCGAGGGGCAAACCTGAGAATCGACATGATCGGGTGGAAGAAAGGCTTGAGCCGCAGACAGGCTGCGCGGACCATCCTCCACGGGAAGCAGGGGAAGGACCAGACGAGCAGGTGGGGGGAGGCGTGTAGCACGCACAGCGAAGGGCCCCGGACCGGGCGGGCCAACCCCCCCTGCCGGGAGAAGGGGGTCTGGGCGCCCGCGGCAAGGCCATGTCTCGATCACTTGGGGCAGAAGTCCCACCCCCGCTGACGCTTGTCCGCGTAGTGGGTTTCTCCTCTGGGGGAAGACTGCTTCCCCTTGGCCTTCCAGTCCGTGTCAGTCCATGTGTCTCGCTGATGTTCCCACTCGTCCCAGGACTGCCAAGTACGCCAGGGTGCTGCCGATCCAGATGCACCTGTCCGTGCGGCAGCTCTGCCTTCGGAAGCCCACGGGGGGTTCTTTATAGCCTCCTTGTCCTCGTCGGTCCACGGATGTGAGCGTCCGCTTCCGATGGGCGCGTCAACTACGCGTACTCTGGTGTTGCGCTGCTTGTGCCTGCGTTGCTTCTCCATGACGTTTGGCCAGTCGACGTGGAGCTGGTATTATCTGTCCATCTTGTAAGCGTCGTATCCCACTTTGCTCCATGCCTGGAGGAAGTCGTCGCACTGCTGTACCGCGTTCCGCCAGGGGTCAGACTTAATGTTGACCCAGGCGCCCCCTTGCTTGTGGGCCGCCTTTCTGACCCAGGCGCCCCACACCCCATTGAATGCGCCCCCCAGCGTCTTCTGCATTCGCGTGATCATTTCTGGTGCCGGCTCGTCCCTTGTGACATCTGCGTCGTCGATGGGTCTCAAGTACATGGGGAGGCCACCCATGGGATCGTCACGGCGCGTAGGTGGGATTACTGCTGTCTGTGCGTCGCGCCACCAGCCCTGTGAGCTGCGCCACGGCCTGGGTGAGCTGCAGGGCGGTGTGGCTGAGCGTTCTCTGGTGCAGTCTTCGACGATTGTGGGTGGTCGGCGGCCTGCTTCGTTCCCCGATTGTCTGAGTGTCCGGCCGTCACCGATAGCGGGGCGGGCTTCGACCCCTCCATGCATCGTTCGGCGCTCCTTGATCGGAAGCCTGCGCATATGGTGACCAGGTTTTCGAGTCGGCCCTGTGAAGGGGCTGGGTCCATAGGGGGGGGGGGGGCATTGGGCCGCCGTCCGATGGGTGGGTGCTGGACTGTCTGCGTCATCGGCCTGGTGTGTAGAGCTGTCCTGCCGCTCTGAGTCGGGAGGGCCTGGCGGGCTGTCGTCCGGCTCGGATTTCTTGTCGGCGTCATCATCCCAGTCGATCCCTTCCAGGTCGCCGTCGCCATTCCAGTGTTCTGGTGAGGAAGGCACCTCTTCGGGGGCCCCATCGGGCTGGCCTGGCGCGTCGGGTTGTTGGGGAGAGACGTTGGCGCGGGTCGGGGGGGCGACGTGATCCTCCCCGAGTTGGTCGGTCGTGGGCAGTTCTTTGCCCTGGGGCCTGTTGAGCCAGATGGCAGCGGGAGACTCTTCTTCTAACCCTCTGGTCGTCGCATCCTGGGGCCGGGCGGCGAGGAGTTCTATTGTTCCTCTGGTTGGGTACTTCTCCAGTCCCGCGAGGAACTGCGTGAGGACATGCAACGGCTGTCGGCAGGGGCACTGCCCTTTCTGATTGTCGAGGTTGCTGGCGTAGCGCTCCCATTCCTCCTTGTACTTTGGGTTGCTATCCACCAGGAGTGAGACTACCCTGGCGGCTGCAGCCCTCTTTCCGTCCCATGGGATACGTGGGGGATGGCCGTTGGTGGGGATCTCCTCTCCGTAGATAGAGTCCAGGAAGGGCAGCAGTTGCTCGAAGGGCCATCCCGTTTCGTCGGTCACTGTCGCCCACCATGTCCTTCCCCAGTCGCTGCACGTAGGCCGCCCAGAGGGTGTAGGCTGCGTGGCTCCACTCAATCAGGTACCTCACCAGAGCGCGAACGGGGGCTCTCGACTCTCCCCCAGCCAGACGGCGGGTGGAGCACGTGGGCAGCAGGGGTGCAGGGGGCGGCAGCAGGTCGGGAAAAGGGTAGGGAATGGTGGCTCCGTCGGCCGAACCCCTTTGTTCGTGGACAGCGGGGGGCTGTGCCGACTGGTCATCGCGCGGTGGGATCAGCGCGTCGGCGCCCGTGACCGGGGCCCGGCTGGCTGGGGAAAGGTGCGTAGACATGTCGTAAATGCACCAGTCCTCGGGGATGCCGGTTGTGGCCTGCCACATGGTAGGGGTGGCCGGGTAGACCTCGTCGGAGTAGCGGTCGAGCATTTGGTCGAGGACGCCCTGGGCGATGTTCCAGATGTGAACAACGCACCTCCTACAGGCCCATGTTGCGTTCCACTTCCGTGTTACCCAAAGGAGGGGCATTGCATCCCACGGCTGGAGACCTGTCTGCTCGTTGCATTTGGCGTCTGCCTCTGGGCACCATATGAAGCATCCGAGGACTGGGTGGCCTGGCATCCCTTCTAGCAAGGGGGAACGGGGGGGACAGGTGTCGCACGTGGCCGAGTACATTTGGGTGCGGTGCGCTTCTGCACCAAACCTGCCGTCGGTGAGCCTGTGCGGTGGGAGGGCGGTGCCAGCGCTGGCTGGCTGGAAGGGGCGCGGCGCCCGCATGACGAGGTCCTTCAGGGAGGAACGGATCGAGGCCTCATTAGGCCCGACCGAACCCCAGCGGGAGGCTGGACAGTGAGGGGAGGGTCCGAGCTCTCTTGCGCGCTCGGTCGTCACCCATTCTGCGTTTGTACTCATGTAGACGCTGCTGCATGGCCTTCTTGGCACCGCCTTCAGCCTGGCCGGGGTCAGGAACGTGGATTCCCTTACTTTCCAGGGACCTGACCCAGCACATCTCACAGAGCCATCTGCAGTTCTTGCCCTTCATGCATGCCTGCGCGCGGTTCTGGGCTAGCAGCTCACGGGTGTCGTCGTCCTCCCAGGTGCCAGCTGCTCCCTGTAGTTCCGTCCTGTTGCAGCCATCGCAGTTGTAGCTGGCGTCCTTCTGCAGCCTGCAGAACCGCTCGTCCCGTACTATCGGGGGAAAGTGCTGCACCTGGGGCTGGTGAGGCCGGGGGATCTTCGTCGAGGCGGACATCGCGACCCCGCCTCCTATGTACTGCAGGCCAGACATGGCGCGTGGACTGCCAAGCCCTTCCTCTGTTCCCGTCAGCGCCTTGTACAGCTGGCAAATGGAGCAGTCTCCACTGCTTAGCTGGTTGACATTCGCGGGCAGGACTATAGCTTCCAGTACGCGCATGGGGGCCTCCAGGGTGAAGTCGTGATTCTGCATTCCTGCCCATGTCCGGGGGCACTTGTGCGTCTCCGCAATCTGGTGGTGATGAGCGAAGGTGTTCAGCGTGCTGACGCGGCGAATGACGTGCTCCATTTTGGCGTGGAGGGAGGCAAAGTCGGCAAGCTTGAACCCCCACGTGGCCGCAAACTGGCTGCGAAACTCCTTGTGGGCTTCCTGCCACGGGAGGCAGAGACCCATCGCCGCCTCTATGATGTCACCTGTGGCGTCTGGGTGCGGGAATGGCCAGAGTGTAGCGCGTGGCTCCCGCAGCTGCAGCATCATCACCACAAGTAAGACTCTGGGCGCGGGTGTTTGAGCGGGCGGCCGTCATTACCGAGTAGGGCAGGCGCGAGAGCAGAGTCGACCGGTTCTGGGCGGAGCAAGGAGTGTAGGTGCTCCATCCCAGGGTGCACCCTGTGGCGTTTGCAGCTGCATGTCGCGCGGCTCCAGGCAGCGGGGAACTGGGGGAGCGTGCCGGCGGGGGTGCACTTGCTTGAGGTCTTGGGGCGGCGGTTGTTACCAATGACGTGGGGCAGCGGGGGGAGTGAGGTGAGCGCGACACTCAGATGCTTGTCGTGCCAAGGTGTGCCCAGTCCCAGGAACCAGACCAGGGCTGCCCACGTGAGGTTGTATACCAAGCTGCTGGCGTCTATCCCGACCTCCACGTCCAGGCAATACCCCAGGTGGCTCCAGGCCTTCCTATCGAAGCTGCCCGGCTGCCTGGGGGTGGCACCCATGGATCATTGGTGGGGATGGAGCCCGGCCACCGTGTAGAGGATGATTCCCATTGCAGGGTCGTCAACAAGCCTCTGCATGCTGTCTGTGAGGGCCTCGCCAAGCTTGTCCCAGGAGAACAGGGGGTCGAGTGGTGCAGCAATGCGCTCTGCAAAGCTGATATCCATGGAGGTCTTGGCCTTCTTGATGGCGTCGTCTAGACCTTTTATGCTATCGCCCCCGGTGTGGGTGGGGGCGGCGGGTATCCACGTGGCGAGGTCCTCGATGGGGTCGAACGCCTCGTCGGTCTGCAGCCTCACCCTTGAGCCCAGGTTGGCCCCTTGGAAGCGGACCCATAGTTTGGCAAACCTCCCGTACTCTGAGAGCTCCAGCAGGCGGGCTCCTGTGGCGGTGCCAAACATCCTCCAATCCCCGAGGATGACCACGTTGGTGGTGGCGCGGGTGATCGCGACGTTCACCCTGTTGGGACTGTCCATAAAACCCCAGTCGTGCCAGCTGTTGGACCGGGTGGTCCGGTAAATAACTAGATCTGCCTCCCCGCCCTGACTTGAGTCTATGGTGGAGATGGCTAGCTTGCCGCTTGCAAGGCGTTCCTCTGCAATTTGTCGCAGCCCAGGGAAACGCAGGCCGATCCCGGTGAGGGGGGAGCTCCATTGTGCGAACACCCGCTCATGGTCCTTGTTGTCGTCGCCGTGTTCGGGGGAATGCGCGGGGTGGTCTCCCGTCTAGGCTAGTCCACCCTTGCCATTTCCTTTATCCTTGGCCTTGGTCTGCCCGAGGGCGCCGCTGATGCTTCGCCCTGTCTGGGGCCAACCGTTCTCAAGGACTGCACATTGTAGCTGGTAGCCTACCACGACGCGCACTGTCGCGCCGTTCCCCATGGCGGGCAGGAGCGCTCTTACGATGTCCACTGTCTGCGCGGCCTCTGAGAGGTTCGCATACCCAGAGTGAAGGTTGGAAGTGACCTCGAGGGAGGGGTTGTCCACCAGGAGAAATCGGTGCCTCTCCTCTGGACTCTGGGATTATGGTGCTAGCTCCCGCAGTAACTTCTCCAAGTCCTCCCAGGGGGGGGGCGTGGCTTTGGCTAGCGCTTCGAGCCTCTCGCTGTCCCAGGGCAGTAGCTCTCGCCACGGTAGTCCTTCAACCAGTGGTCTTTGCGTGAGTGGGTCGGTGAGCCCCGACCGCATTGAGTTATTATAGAAGGCAACGTTCGGCCAGGACAGGAGCAGGGGGTGCATGCGATAACAGAGGCTCAGCTGCACCACTGCTGTGTTGCCATCTCCCAAGGCATTATGCAGCCGATCGAAAATGGAGACGCGTAGCCCAAGGTCGGCCGCCTGTCTGGAGAGGACGGTGGGGGGAAGTTGCCCGGGGTCGCCGACCAGCACCAGGCGTCCGCCGGAGCGAATGACACTGTCGAGCGACATGGCGGCCATTAGTTCGTGGGCCTGGCCTGCTTCGTCAATGATGAGCAAGGCTACTGGTGCAGCGTGCCTGAGGCCCTCCGCGGACTCGTGCGTCGCGATGATCGTCTTGGCGTCCGTAAGCAGCTGTGTACGGAAGGCATTGAACTCTTTGGAGGACCCGCCTCGGTGCGGGGGGCGGTTGTGCGTTATGTAGAAATGCCCCCCTGGGGTGAGAGGGGCTAGTCTCTGTGCCACCCGGAATTCTTTGGCCAGACGGGCGCACCTGTTGGGGAAGCTAGTCCTTTGTCCTAGTGCGCCTGCCTCGTGCGCACTCCCGAGGCCGATGGCGGGCTGGTCCGCAGCAGTGTTAGACCCGGCATTTAACGCAATTGCCTGCCCGTCGGGGAGCGAGTCGGCCCACGTGTCCATGGTGGCGACTGAAAAGATCGTCTTGCCAGTTCCGGGGGGACCGTGTACAACTGTCACGCGGCGCTGTCTGGTGGCGGCCAGGGCGCGCGCAGCATCTTCGTTAAGTCGGCGGCGCACGGCGCCGTCGTCGAGGGTGGGTGCCGGGGGGAGGTCTCTGACCCGCTGGAATACCTGACCAGTAGAATTGTCCACTTCTTCGTCGGAGACGGGCGCGTCCAGCGACTCCTCTCTCTGTTGCTGCGGGCCGGCAGCACTACCATTCGCCACTGTCGGGGGTAGGCCGGGCGTCTGGGCCCTGATGGCGGCATGCGCCCGCGAGAGGAGTGAGTTGCCGCACTTCCTTGCGTTTCCCACGTCATTGGTCAGAATCCTGGTGTTCCTGTCGGCGGCGCGGCAGGTGAGGAGGAAGGAGATGACGTCGAGCGGCGCGCCTTCCAGGTCACCTGGGGCCTGCTGTAGTTTGTAGATTTCGCCGATGGCACTGGAGATCCGCCAACACTGTATCTTGGGGGGTTCCTTGTCCAGCCTGTACCAGCCGTCTCCCACCTTGTCTGGCTTGGGGCGCATACCGCCGGGGTGGAAATCCCCAACTTTTCCCGCGCCGTACCAGGCCAAGGCTTGGTTGGTGGGGAACTTGGCTCCCAGCCGTAGTTCCATGGCATCGCAGTCGTGGTGGGGGATGGTGCCTCCGAACTCTGGGGGCCAGAGAAGTTTGAGCGACGCAACCTGATCCGCCGCTGGGCTGGTGACGCTGAGAAGCAGCGTCCGCGCTTCCTGTCCACCCTCCTGCCCCCTGAACAGGATCTTGAACTCTCTTGGCCATTGCGGGTGCAGCAGCAGCTTCCCCTGCTGGGCGGGAAAGGCGTTGCGCAACCTGTATTTGTCTAGGAGTACGCAGGGGGTCTGCTCATTGATGGGGGTGACGGACACAGCCAGCGCGCAGCTCTGCCGTCGTACCAGGTCAGTTCTGGCCTTGGCAGAGCGGCCCCATATTGTTTCGGTGGCTGCCATGCATTCGGCCCAGGCATGCCTGTCCAGGGCGTACCCTCTTTGTCGCAGATCCTGCTCCCAGTGCCTCGGGAAGCACACCCCGGCGGCGACCGTGCCCAGGGGATTGTGGAAGCGGAATTGGGTTCCTGGGCTGTTGGCGGGCAGGGCGTATAGCCTGATGATGGCGTCTGCTGCTGCAGCCGCTGATGACTCCATGATCGCCTGTCCGCTCAAGGGGGGAGGTCGCCCGGCCAGTCGCCCCCGAACTCGCGCGCGGGTCTCGTCCGATCCGTTGAGTCCTGAGAGGAGGCCCTGCTGGACGCGTTGGCCCGTCTTCCCCTCTGGAGCGGCGAGGTGGATGGCCATCCCTGTGGAGCGGGGGGGGGGTCAGAGGGTGGTGGTGGCGGCGGCGCTGCGCCACCCCAGGCTCTGGC